GTCGTATTTGTTCCCTAAAAAACAAAAAAGAACGCAGTGTTGTTATTTTACATTTTTGGTCACCAGCAATATCTTTTTCCATTCGCAAAAAAGGAAAAATCCTTTTCCGTTGCATAAGAAACAGCAAAAGATAAATGGCACTTGGCACTGGACGCACATCAGACATCACCATACTCTGGTGTTACTCTCGTAGGTAGGCATCACCTCGACTGGTTATGCTCCGGGCCAGCGCCTCGCACAACGATGGCCACGCGAAACGCAGCTAACTTTCTCCTCACCTGCGAGTCAAGCACGCCCTCACCCAACCCAATGAATAACGACGACCCTCTCACCTCTATATACTACACACTGATTGCCTTCAACAGCATCGCGGGGATACTTCACACAACACGAGTGCAAAATCGGTCGTCGAAGCGTCGATGTTGCCGCCGGCGACGCTGTTCGCGGTGGGGTTCATGCTCTGCCCGTTCCCCGCCTTGGTGCCGTCCGGCCGTAACCTCACCGCGCTGCTGCCGGAGCTCTGCGACCTCCTCGGCTCCCTCTACTGCCACGTCCGGGACGACCTCGTCCTGCCGCTCACCGTCGCGGTCACGGCCCCCCGCCGGCGCCCACGGTGGCGCTCTTCGAGATACCGATGAAAACTTGTACTGTATCTCAGTTCTCTCATATATACTCTCTTGGATGCATGATTATGTGCATGATGGTGTACTCGTGGTTCTAGTAGTATGTAAAGAATGTATCAAATGTGCTAGTAATTGGTTCTTCGTAGTTCTCACTACGGTTTTGTTCTCAAACTGCCACACTTTCCTTTGACTGTTTACATTCAGTACGTGCGGTTTGGTAGGTTCTCCGTTCATTCTAATTGCAACTAAATTAATTTCAATTTATAGATCCCTAGAAAAAAATCGTAGAGCAAAACTAAGAAGGCTATAACTTGTTTCGGCTAACATTTCAAATTTCGGGTTTAATGTTAACATCGGTTGTGTACCTAGGTTTGAGCAGTGAGGATCTTGTTCTTTTTATTTGGAATTCCAGGGAAATTAAAAGAGGCACGCAAGCTGCCAGAACGGTGCACATATTTCGCTTGTGTTAGGTTCCTCTCCTCTGGATCTAGGGATCATTTTTACTTTTTTCGCAAATACGCTCGAAAGTCTATCATTCCATTGATAGAAGAGGGGAAGAATACAAAGTTAGTAGTTCCAAAATGCCATGCACAGAGAGAGGCGGCATTTGGGATACCGTTGATCCGGAGAAGGGGGTTGCTCAGCCCCAATACACATAGATCAGGCTACGTGAATGATCCTATCTAGTCGAGTAAATAGCATAAACTACTACTTTACATGCCAGGGTTTCAAAAAACTACTGATTTTTAATTTTTCTCAGATAACTATGAAATGGGTAGTAGGCTGTTTCAAAAAATCCAAATCGTCGAGTCTTTATCAGTTGATCACGATTATGATAGGTCGGGCCCACACCTAAACAAACCATTAGTTTGATCTTAGTTTGACCATTAACTTACATGTGGGGCCCACATGTAAGTTTCCTCTTCCTCTTCTCTTTCTTCTTCCTCTCTATCTCTTCTCTTCCCTGCTCTGTGGCTCCTATGCTAGACCTCTCCCCTCCCGAGCCGGCGACCCCCTTCCCCTCCCAAGAT